AAACAACTAACAAGAATCGGACGGATGAACGTTGTGAGACTCGGTTTGAGAGTATTTTAAAGAAATTTCTGATTTAGCAGATAATAATAGATAAGACCACAAGCTTCGTGATGCTTACAAAATAGGGCAAACTCTCTTCAAAATAACACAAGACATCCTGCTATCGTTTATTTTAAAGTTAAATTCCTTTAGCAGACTCTTATGGCATTGCACACAATAGTATTACAATTTATGAAAGCTAAGAATTTGGTTAAAAGAGAAAATAGGAAATTAAAAATGGCATGTGAGAAACAGCTGTCTAATAATGTTAAACTAGCAACAAAGATTTGTTTAAGTATGTTCAAGGTAAGCAAAATGTTAAAATGGAGATTAGGCCTTTAAAGGATGCTGATGGCAAGGTTATTGTTGGAAACTATAAGACAGCTGAGTAATTAAACGTGTTTTTTTTTCTTCTGTTTAATTCATCTATTTGTTTGTTTGTTTTTTACAAAAGGGTTGAGGAATAAAACTTAGCAAATCTCTAGGTTCATACAATGTTTTCCTCAAGGTTTTAAATAGTTCTATTTAAACGGTTCGTGCATGCTGTTAAATTTGCCCGAAGCGCAGTATAGTTGTCTCCTAACTCTGTAGGGTGTTCCAAAAGTTGGGGGGTGTTTGGTTAGTTACCCACAAGACCACGTTAGTTATTCTATAGCTAACAGGAATTAGGTGTGATATATATTCTGTCAAGATGTGATCAGTATGAACTGGTACAAATATTAACCTAAAAACCCAAGGTAAAACCACGGTTGTCCCTGGAATGTTCGTAACTCGTGGCTTCATAATTTAACTAATCATTCCTTGTAGCTTACGAGTGTAAGACTAAAACGTCTAGGTAATACCTGTATCTCATTTCTTAATGTTTTACTCATTTGAATAATTAATCATAGTCGGTAGAACCTTTTACTACATTTTACCGGAGTTTTCATAAAACCAAACATTTTTCATTTTAAATTTTGTATAAGCATCTTCCAGACGTTATTATATATTATTAGACTCGAGTATACCTTGCTCTTATTAAGTATTTTTTATCATATCCTTTATCATTATAACCAGACAAGTTAGATGAATTAAGGCCAACGTGAAATGTGTATGGTTTAATCTAGAGGCTTGCCTGACTAGCAGGTTATCTTTGGCCTCGAGGGAACATCTAATAATTTCCCAAACAGGAAGTTCACTGCGAAGGAAGCCAAGAAACAGACTTCAGTAAGCTTTATGGTACACCCCAGGCATGTGCTGAGGACCAAATGGATATATATACACTACTAGCAACACACGCTCACGTGCAGATACATGTTATATATATTATTAGTAATGTAATGGATGAAAAAGATCGTGAGGCACAAACTGTTAAATCTTCTGCTCTTTATTAAAGTAAACTTTTAATAATAAATTGTTCAAAAAATATCCGAAAGAGCAGTTTTGTACACTCATGGTTTCATGATTTTAACAAATATTAATATCTATACAATTTTGATGTGGATTTTTTTATTGTTATTTATTTAACTGACTTCCGCAAACTTGATAACGTTTGGCAACGAGAGTGCAAAAGTTAATGTAAAACATTTTTTTAATGCATGTATGTAAAGGAGAGAAGTTACACCTTTGTAGGATTACTTTGTATATCTGTATTATTTCGTTTTATACATCCTATACACGATAAATAATAGTATAACAATTTAGCTGTTTCTTTGTCAGGTGCGTTGTGGAAGAAATCTTTTTCATTTTAAAAAAATGTTCGCTGTTTTATTGTTTCGACCAAACAGAAATTAAAAAAAAAATTGAGATCCTCGCTAAAAACGTTGAAAATAAGCTACCCACTTGCTCTTTCTTACCCCCACTTAACATGTTTCTTTAGCAAAACTTGCGATAATGGCGATACACTCGAAATACGACCCATTCAAAGCGTGTTCTGAAGCGTTGAACACTGTACATTAGTCATCTTCCTTATTATTTAATTTAAGATGCTACAGTCTCATTTTATTCTTTAACAACACTGACTACGTAAATCTTTGAAGCGCATAAAAAATATGCTATTTTACGTTGTGTAAAATGAAATTTCGCGAACGAAAACACGTAGCTGTGAAACAACGACTTCCACGAATTCTTTTCCACCAAGTGTCGTAGAATACGTCATTTATTCTATCACAGAACTGCCCCGATTGGCTGGTAGCCGGTCGTTGGCTTGTTCACAGACCAGTAAGCGAGAGGATTAGAAAAGCACGCCCTTAACCCACCTACAGTTGAATTCAGAGTTTAAAGTTAGAGCGAGAGTGTCAGGACTATGTTCAGCCAGTCTAATAGAACTTATCTTCCTTCAGTAGTTTTGTAAGTAAAAATAATAAAAACAAAGATTTGTCTTGTTACAATATAAAGTAACTGGTGTGATCTGTAGTGCGTAATGTAAACAAAGGGCAAAACGAAACGAATGTGTACTTTAACACTCGAGTGAAATGACGACCCCCATCTGCCGTTGTCGTGTTCTCTACCTGGGTTCTGCAGTGCCCCACATTACGAAGGATGGCCTACAAGGAATACAGGAACCGCTGCGGGATTTGTACCCGGGCCAGGGCCCGCTTACCGCCAAGGGAATAGATTCGTGGCTGAGCGTTTGGAGCAACGGCATTCTGTTAGAAAACGTTGACGAATCGAGACGTCCTGTAACTAGATTTTTTTCTATTGACACTCTACATTATTGTGCGGCTGTTCGACACGTTGTTGTTCTTGATAAAGACGGAGAAAAGGTAGAAAAATTTCTGCCTCTAGATAGCCCCTTTGTTCAAAATGCTAGCCCTAACCATCCGCCTCTGTTTGCCTGCATACTGCGACGTACCACTGGAATCAAAGTTTTGGAGTGTCATGCTTTCATTTGCAAGAAAGATGCCGCAGCTAATGCTGTAGTTCGCTGTTGTTTCCATGCTTATGCCGACAATGTAGAAGCTCGACAGATAGAAGAAAACCCCTACTACCTTGATACACGCAGAAGCCGTTCCATTTCCGGACTGGATAATCTTCAAAAGGTGGAAGATTGGCGCCATGAAGCTCTTGGTAACGGTCACTTATATAGTCCCGAATCTAAACAAGGGACCATCTCACGAGCTGCTGCGGCCAACGGAGAGGAGAACTATAAAGTTTGGATGGGAGCAGCCCCAACAGAACAGGAAGTAATGTATCTGGACAACACTGGCACAATCCGCAGCGTCAGGTCACTAGGGATCGGGTCAATCAGATCTCTTCAACCACGACAGATGCCATTCCCGCCTCTTCTTCCGATGTCTTCACATAACATGCTTTCGATATCAGGAAAAGAGAGTAAAAGCAAAGCTAAAGCTGAAAAATTATCGAAAATGAAGAAAAAGGGGAAACACGAACATCTTACAGTTAAAACAAACGGACCTCCTCTTATGGCCGTTCCATCTAAAGCTATTTATGTCGGCTCGGGCCTGTACACAGAACGGAGGGGAAAAAAGGGGGAACGGATCCCCATCATGCCAGTGGAAGAGCCTGTGTACATGCCTTCTGCTATGCCAGTCGCTCCCAAAGCGTCTTACCAGCCAGGCACGTTTCCCCACGAGAATTATCTCTTACAGCATTATGGTACAGCTCCGAGACCACCTAAACTCTCTCAGAAGAAGAAAAGAGATGAAAAGGAGAAGACTCCATCAGAGCTTGAGGCCTCCTTCAATAATGGTATCTATCGCAAGAAAGGTCACATTAACGAGAGGGCCTTTTCTTTCTCAATCCGGCAAGAGCATCGCTCTAGATCTAATAGTCTGGCTAATCTCCACTTTTTTGCCAATGGTTCTGGTGACGGCAACGATCCTAACGGAGATGCTTCAGGATCATTCCAAACCGGGGACAAGAAAGAGTTAGAACTTGCTCAGTTGGTGAAGGGTCTGGAGCTGAAGGAGAATGGATATGAAAGTCGTGGTGATCAAGGCAACTTTATTCGTAAACGAAAACAAAAAATTTCATAGATGAGGTAACCAGTTGTATCTTAACCAGTTAACTATAATTTTTTTTTCATAAACATTACTGGTAATATTATTATTATACATATACCATTCAAATCAGCTCATACCATTTTTATTCAGCTATCCTTATATTACTTCTTATGAAGACTTCTTTAAAACTGTTGTTGTTACGGTGCTTTGGAAAGTTTGTTTGTTGTTAAGCATAAACCTGCGCAACAGGCTCTTTGTGCTGCACCCACTGCAAGGATCGAACCCTGAATTTAAGAGATTATAACTCTAAAGTTTACTACTGAACCACCAGTTTGGAACGAATATGTAACTGTCATTGCTTTGACTATCGCGCTAGCTGTTAAAATCTATGTATTATGTTGTTATCTTTTTGTGTACTATACATATATATAAATATTAAGATATCTTGAGCTCATACAAGTTGCTCTGGATGGCTTATGGAAAGTATGCTAGTATCAGTTCGATGTAAACAAATGTGACAGAGACAGAGACATTTACTGGAACCCTCAAAGCAGGAATATCTCAATTCTATTTAATTACCTATCTATCTATAAAGTTTCGGAATCGGGACTTGTGGAGTATGAATGAAAGTTGTAAAATGTAGATTAATAAGTTTGTGTTTTAGTCAAGTTTTGACTTTCTTTGAAAAGTGCTTATTTTATTATTTCTGGTAAATAATTCAAATCCGACATTTTACGAAGAGTATTTATAGAACTTTTCAATTGAGGCATGACCGTAGTTTCGTACTGTCATAGAACCACAAGAGTAAGAAAAACCCTGCGTATAGTTCGATGACGAGGAACTCACTTTGAAACTAATAATGGCTGGAGACGGTTTGAATGGGTAA